GAGATATTCGTATGACCAAAAAAAAAAAAAAAACAGTATAAAGCTAAAGATCATTTTATTTAATCGTAAAAATGCAAATAAATAAATAAATAATAATAATAAACAAACAAATAAAAAATTAGGCTTAGGTTATTATGGAGCCCATTTCCACCCCGTAATAATAATAAAAAATAAAAAAAAGATAATTGCGACCTTTTAATCTCACAATTGTCAATCAAGATAAAAACTTGCAATTCTGAGAAAAAGCCTGATTTGAATTTAGAATTCTGAATTTTTTTAGCAATTCCGTTTTTTATCTTGCAGTTCTGAGATTTTTCTCAGAATTCTGAGATCATAATATTGTTTTTTTGCTTCCACCATGAAATAAATTAAAAGGGAATTGCAACCTTTTCTCTCACATTTCTGACTTTTTTTTTTGGCAATTGCAACTTATATCACAATTCTGACTTGTTTAAACAGTAGAAGTCTATGCAATGTCTCCATTTAGAGAGCTAGGTAAACAGCAATTCTGAGAAAAAGCCTGATTTGAATTTAGAATTCTGAATTTTTTTAGCAATTCCGTTTTTTATCTTGCAGTTCTGAGATTTTTCTCAGAATTCTGAGATCATAATATTGTTTTTTTGCTTCCACCATGAAATAAATTAAAAGGGAATTGCAACCTTTTCTCTCACATTTCTGACTTTTTTTTTTTGGCAATTGCAACTTATATCACAATTCTGACTTGTTTAAACAGTAGAAGTCTATGCAATGTCCCCATTTAGAGAGCTAGGTAAACGTGTAAACGATCAGGACAGTCATCTGCAGAAAATATCTCTGGTGATTATTTAATGGTGTACTTAAGAAACAAACAGAAAATGTGACTGCTTAAAATAGTTTAAAATTACTCCGTAATATCATATCACTCTACTGATATATTGTGTCAACAGGCTGTTGTGATAAATCATTCATTAGTGCATTTCACAGCTATAAGTGTTTAGCATAATTATCAATCCTGACAAATATTATGACCATTTACAGTGCAATAAAACATATTAAACACACAATCCTTCATAAACCTTCAAAACAGAACTGATTTAGTCTGAGGTTTGTTTTAAAACAGTTACAAAAATATGTTTTAAGAACGATTTGCTAATGTTCTCATTAAGTTATGAAAAGAAAACATTATTTCTGAATGTTCTCTGACCGTTCAAAACACCCAGTTTTTTTAGATGTTTTAAAAACGTTTTGTTTGTTAGTTTGTTTGGTTATGCAAAAATTCCATTTTCAAACATTATGTGAACGTTACTTTTGAATGATCTCTAAACAAGTTTAAACAACATTTAAAAAAAACGTTAGTTGAATGTCCAGAATGTTTCAGAAAAAAGGTTCCATGAACGACGTATAAATAATGTTTTTCTGCTAATGTTTTGAGAACATTATTAAAGGCCAAAAACACTTTGAACAAACATTCTATTAATGTTAATATAACTATGAGTTAATATAACTATCACCAAAGTTCTGAGAACATTCACTATTAGACAGTTAAGAACTAGTTTGACCAGCTAGCAGTTAACAAGTGGTAGTAATCAGTCTTACTTTTTGGATTAAAATTAGACCTACCTTTTTATGGGACTTTACAAGGTTAAGAAAAAAATAGATGACTAAGCAGTTCATGCAACCGGCTCCTGTTTAAGAAGCAGTCTTAACCAGTGTTGGGAAGGTTACTTTGGAAATGTAATAGGTTACAGATTACAAGTTACCATATTTAAAATGTAATAAGTAGTGTAACTATTTTTAAATAATTTATTAAAGTAATGTAACTGATTACATTTGATTACTTTTTGATTACTTTTCTAAATTTCTAACGAATGTTTTCTACTGTTAATCATTTTGAAACATTTAAAGCAGGCATGGGTTAACCTTACAGTAGTGCTCAAACACTGATAACATCAGACTTTCAGAATCCTTCTTCACTTGAATTAAGATAATAATTTAATTTTAAAGCACAGCCACCACAAAATCAGACTTTAGCACCTCTTTTTACTTTGAGGTTAAATACAGATTTAAAATCATAAGATTTAGTTTAATAGTTATGACTGTATGAACATAATATAACAGATTATAGTTACATTTATTTTGTAATTAAATTCCGTAATTCCGTAACTATAGTTACTCACTGGTCTTAACAGGCTATGCTTATGCAACTGGCTCCAGATCTTTTCTCATCTAATATTAGTCTAGGATGGCAAAATCCTAGAACAATTAAACATCTAATGTGGTCTAGTTAACCTGATCTGTGGCCAGTTGCATAAAATGCTTGGACTAGTCTTACAGTTTAGTCATCGTTTTACATAAGATAAGATGTAACATAAAAACCTACATTGGTCTCATTTAAATCCGAAAAATACGACTCTTGGTCGGTGCTAGTAGGTCAGATTATTGAGCTTAAGTTTATGCAACTGGCCCCGGTCTATTTTGATGCTGGTCTTATGATAGGCTAGTTTAACCTATCTGATCTGGTCTAATGACAGTTTAACTGGTCTAATGTTAGTCTTATGACAGTTAAACAGTGGTTTCTGTAAACTGCATGAGTAAAGCGTTGTTTTCCGATGATCGCGGTAAACTTTTTACTGCAGCTTCAGCAACTGTGTTTAATTATAGGCTTTAAAACGGAGTCCAACCACAAATAGGGGCGGGGGTCTGGAACTGAAAGTCAGCGACTCAAAAACAAGTCATCCTCCACATCCCTCATATGTTAGTAACGTTAGTTCCTTAGATCTATAAAAAAAAAAAAAAACAGACAACAAACACCTAGGAATTTAAACAGCTGTGACAAATGCCTGATTTAAGTACAAAACAACCTGGACAGCCTATGAGGTGAAAAATAAGATGCAATATGCTCCACTGACCTGGACAAGCACCTCTAATTCTTCAGCTACGCAGGTGGAGAGCGCGTCTTCCGCGAGCGTCCGTGTTCTGCCGCGCCTCCGTTTATTTCTCTCTGTCCCGGGCGCCGGGCTCCGCCTTCTCATAAATATGAATTACTCCTCCGCTGAAGACGTTTTAAATATTAATTAAGTATCACTGACGTCATTTGGTTGCCGTCCAACCACTTGGCCGAACGTTCCCTTTACGTAATTAATATTCATGAGCCTAACCTTCGCTGTAGTAGAATTCGGGGAAGGGGCACAAAAACACCCTTCAGCGAAACGTTGAATTGATTAAACTCTCATGTATGTAAACAAGAAATGACACACAGGCGGACGAATAGGATGATTATTGCGGCGGGTAATTATATGCTTTCACAAAACAAAAACATGGGCATTAGGACACAACTGTTGTGCGACTGGAATCTGAAGACGCGACTAACAAAAAGTACCGTGGTAATAATGCAATGTTTTGCACACGTACCACAGTGACACTTGATAGCATTCTTGGGTGCCACCTGAATACCGTAGTAAAGGAGAGGGTTTTTGACATGTTATCTTTGTAATATCATATACAATACAAAATACAGTGCATTGGAGTACCATAAAATTGGAATATGGCAATCATTCAGTATACCATGGTACCTTCACAGTATGTTTTTGTAAGGTGTGCATAGTTGCTTTTCTATAAAACACTGCTGTTTAGTTTTAAACCTACATCCTGGTCTTGCATTATACAAACAAAACACATCTATTGCTAAATCAGTGTTTGACATTACAATATGCAGGTCTTCCATATCACACCGGCTACAGGCTATTCAATTCTGATTTCTCTCATAAACGAAAAGAGAACTATGGAAGTTTATATATACAGTGGTGTGAAAAAGTGTTGGCCCCCGTGGACCAAAGTTCCTCCACAGCGCTGTAACAGACTCATTGCAAGTTATCGCAAACGCTTGATTGCAGTTGTTGCTGCTAAGGGTGGCCCAACCAGTTATTAGGTTTAGGGGGCAAACACTTTTTCACACAGGGCCATGTAGTTTTGGGTTTTGTTTTCCCTTAATAATAAAAACCTTCATTTAAAAACTGCATGTTGTGTTCACTTGTGTTATCTTTTACTAACATTTAAATTTGTTTGATTATCTGAAACAAAGTGTGACAAACATGCAAAAAAATAAGAAATCAGGAAGGGGGCCAACACTTTTTCACACCACTGTATATATATATATGTACCGTGGTGGAAACTAATTGAGACTTTTTTTCTTGCAATTCTGAGAATAAAGTTAGAATTACAAGATTATAGACACAGAATAGTAAGCTATACATTTTGGAAATGCAAAATATAAAGTCAGAATTGCAAGAAAATAAGTCAGAATTGTTAGTTTATATCTCGCAATTCAGAGGTTTTTTTTCAGCAATTCTGAGAAAAGAAGTTAGAATTGCAAGATATAAATTCAGAATTGTGATATAAACTCAGTATTGCAAGATAAACAATTCTGAGAAGAAAAGTCAGAATTGTGAGATATAAACTCATAGTTGCAAAAAGGCAGAATTGCGAGATGTAAACGTAGAACTGTTAGATAAAAAAAGTTTTTTAATTCTTTTCTTTTTTTTTATTCCGTGGTGAAAAAAAAAACAATTGCGAGATATAAACTCAAAATTGTGAGAAAAAAAATAAGAATTGCAAGTTTAAATCTCGCAATTCTGAGTTTATATCCCACAATTCAGAGAAGAAAAAAAATATTAGATTTGCAAGATATAAACTCAGAATTCTGAGAAGAAAAGTCAGAATTAATAAAAAGTTGCAAGTCGCTATTACCTTTTTAATTTTTTTAATTTTCCAACAAAAACACACAATTCAAACACACCTAAACACAACATGAAATCAATCAAAAAGTCAGAAATCAATCATAAAGGTTTTTAACATTACAAAATTTATTTTATTGAGAAACCTCTGCTGCAAAATATACACAAGTGATTTACATCAAGAAAAAAAGACATACTTTCATAAACGTATTACATACAAAACTGGGTAACACTATTTCGATAGTCCACTTTAGACATTCTATTAATAGCAAGTAACTTTGCAACTACATGTCAACTAGCAGTTAGTAGAGTATTAGTAGACTGTCTGCTTAATATCTTCTAACTCTTTCTTTGTCAACTTATTCTACTAACCCTAACCCTACCCTAACAGTCTGCTCTGAGAGTTAGTAGACATGTAGTTGCAAATTAATGAGAATTAGTTGACATGTAGTTGACATGTAGTTACAAAGTAACTTATAGTAAGTAGAATGTCTAAAGTGGACTATCGAAATAAAGTGTAACCCAAAACTGATTTTGAATTCAAGATTGTTATAAAAACCACCAAAATGGATTTCTAAAGCAAGAAAATTCCTTCTTTGCATTGCCATGGTACCATTAAACATCGTGATTGGCCATTACACACGTCTGTGCTCCTGATTGGCTGCTGCTGCTGTCAATCACTCGGCCAGCCACTTCTGGAGCAGGATGAAGATGTGGTCCCGTGCTAAACTCAGCTGAGGAAGGTCTTCCGCTCGGGCCGGGTACATGTTAGCGCAGTGAGCGGTACCTGAGCGAGAGCAGAGCCAGTGAGATTCAACGGAAAACGGATAAATGAAAATAAAGAAGACGGCACGGACCTTCGATAAAGACAGCCAGAAGGTCGCTTGTGATGTCCTGGGTCACTCCAAGGGCGTGCCAGGGGTCAATGGAACCATTGGGGAAGACGATGCGAGTGGTTCTGATGTCATATCCTCCGTATTCTTCATTGGTCTGCTGAATAGCATCGTCCAACGAGGTGCTGAGATTATATATGTCAGCGCACTGCTGCAGGTGATAGCTGAAGAAAGAGAGAGCAAGATAGAAGAAAGTTCACCCTAAACCCTTAATGCGACTGCAAACAAACCAACCTCAGGACGACAGACACAAAATGACTCTAAAACACACACTCACTGTAAGGGAAATCCACTGAAGGGCTGGTTCGGTGAATCGGTGCTCTGATAAAAACCAAATTCAGTGCAGGTCTGATACACCCACTGCCGCCCTAAACACACAAACTAAATTCAGCTTCATTTTCAGCTTCATAATGGAATAATGGCATATTTGATGAATCAGAAGATGTAGGGTAAATCTTGCGAAGTCTCTCATGTCAGGGTGATATTTCATAAAAAAAAAAAATGAATAAAATAAAATACAAAGTACAAAGCAAAAATAAAATAAAACAAATAAAACAAAACAATTAATAATTAAGTACAAAATCAATAAATAAAACCATATTTCTAAATAAATACAATTAAAATACAATGTAATATAAACAAATACTAAATAAATATGAAACGAATAAGATAAGATACTGCATCCCCCCAAAAAAACAAAAAAAACAATAACTAAATAGAATACAAATCAATAAATACAAATCGAAATAAATACAAATCAAATAAATAAAATAAGATAGTGCTTCTCAAAAATAAATTAAATTACAAAATAAAATTAAATAAAACGATAACTAAATAAAATAAATATGAATTAATAAATAAAATAAAACCAATTGTCTAAATAAATTAAAATTAAATTAAAATAAAATAAACAATAACTAAATAAATAAATACAATAAAACTAAAACTCATTAGGCTTCATTTATGCTATATACAATATTTTGGACATTAAAAAAGAAATCATTCATTCTTACGTTCATAAACATATTACAAATAAAACTGATTTTGAATTCAAGACTGTTATAAATAAAAAGTGCCAAATTAAATTTATAAAACATGAAAACCCTTCTTTGCATTGCAATAGTACCAAATCTAAAACAAATAAACAAAATAAATCAATTAATTAGGCGTCATTTTCTTTATGCTAAATCTAATTTCCTAGACATGTTTTCATGAGATTCACCTGTTGAAATCACATTAAAAATACAGGATCTCATTCAGAAAAACAGAGAGGAAAAACACATGAAAACATAGGAAATGACAAGTGAGAGGCCCAGACTGCACTTCCTGTAATAGAAAGCAGCAAGCTGGAAAACAAGTGAGGAACATCACATACACATGTTAACCAGCGGTGTGCGGTTCTGAAATCAGGAGGCAAAGTCCTCAAAACTGTTCTTTTTTTTAATCAAAAGTAAATTCATGTCCCAGTCACATTTTCTTGGTTAAATAGACATTACTTACAAAAAACAAAACAAATCAATTTTATATTTTTACATTAACAATGTAATCGATATTCTGTTTATTAAAGCCAAGTATGAATCTCATCAAGTTAGTGTTTTTAAGCATTTTACATTTATTCCAAAAATAATAACTGAAGGCAGTAACAATTTAAACAATACATTTTATTTGTGAACTTATGTTCGGCTATTCTTTTTAATAGTTTAATAGAATTTTTCGGATCATCAGTCATCAAAGCTCTGTAAATATTGATCACAGACACAGAGATTTATTTTATTTTATTAGTTTTTTTCTTATCTCTTACTTGGAAATAAGCTGGAGATGACTAGGAAAAACACATATAAACCATTTATTGTCACAATCGTGTATTTACTGTCTTCACGTTTCATCAGTCAAAATGTTTCTGCTTTTCATTCAGCTCAGCTACAGAGATAGCCGGATGCCTTTGTCCATATTAGGGCTTTCCTGGCATGTCATAAGTTATTCCTTCTATGAGGCCGTTTTTATCAGGCTTCGAGTATGAATGAAACATGCACTGCATGAGCACGTTTAGCGCTCCGTAATGTTCACATCGCCTCATTTTGGATACGAATATAACATCAGGTCATGCTCTTTGCATTTAAATCTAGATTTATTCACATTGGCCAATCACAGCCGAACATAACCAGTCAGATACAATCATATCGCAATGGAGGCATTGCCTCCTCTCACGTGATTTCCCCCCATTCATTCTCAATTACCCCCACCAAACTCACCGCACGCTTTAGGGGGTCTGTTAAAACTCAATGGGCTCAGGGGAGGCGAGAGAGACGTGAGAGACTCCCGCTGTTACTTTACCTGCTGGTGTCGCTGTTGGACAGTGTTTCTTTAGAAAAACGAGTGATTTACTTTTTAATGTTATATTTTGTGATATTGGCGTGGTTTTATTTTTGTACTAAGAATTTTTTTCTCATCCAGTATTTTGAGGAGGCACTGCCTCCCTTGCCTCCCTGATGTAAACACACTCATTAGTGTGACATAAACACAACACACACAAATCAACATGCATGCAGTCACACACACACACACGCACCTCCTCCGGCCTCAGGGCCGCTCCAGCTTGTGTTGCTCATGTCCTGGATGTAGCTCTTGTACTGGGTGTTTATGCAGGCCTGAGAGAATGTGCTCTGCATCAGTCGAGCCACAGCGGCGTATCGATCGTACGGCTCACCTAACGAAGAGTCCAGCATCACACTGCACAACACCTTTATGGTGATGTTTGTGCCCACAACACCCTGAAAAACACACATTTTCTTAGCTATAAATCAGGATATATATATACAGTATATATATATATTCGATTAAATATTTATTCAAATTTCGAATC